TATCACTAAGCTGATCAAGCTTTCTGATATAGCTGAGCTTGCCGTGGTCTGTGTTTTTTGCTTCCAAGAGCATCGTCTTGACTAAGCTCTTTGCTTTCTGGAGTGACTCCTTGGAGAACTCTATGAGCCCATCCGGAGACTTGAGCTTTTCATTTCTGAACAAGCCAACCTGTTTTGTTTTGAAGTAGCCGCCAGGAGCCTTGTTGAAATTCGTGAAACACTTCTGGCTATCGAATAAGCGAGTGAGTTGGTCTCCTTGAGCTGGCTTTCGTATTGCCACCGAGGAGGTCAAGGCTCTGGCGAACGCAGTTTTAGGCAAACTACGTAGCAGCACGGATGAACTGAACATGTTTGTGGAAAGTGGAAATGAGTTTAGGAAGACGATCCTGTTCGTCTGGAGAAAAGTTGCAAATGTACTGCAGAAGATGTCTTCCGCTTTGGGTGAGATTCGATCAGAAACGTAAGCGAGCAGTATCTAGAACCAGGGGGTATTTTAGGGAGGAATTTGAAGTGGAGGGAAAAATTCTAATGAATTTTATGCAAAGAAGTAGCAGGAGATGTTTGATAATTTCCGATTCGTGACCCTTTGATATCAGTAGCCCTTCGGCGCACTCTGGTAGTGTGACGTAATCCTCACGTACTAGATTTCGCAGCCAAGCTTAAGTCTGGGGTTGACTTCCATTATATCCGAACCTCCGTGGTATGGTCATACAAAAGTAGGTTTAAGCTTTAATGGCAAATTTTTAAAAAGAAAGGTCGAGAAAATAGCGTGAGCGTTTCCATTTTATCGCCTGGCATGTGTTAATCAAACTAGGGCTCAACATAGTGGTAAAATTCGGGCCAGTCTCTCAGATAAGTCAACGACCGGCGTGTTTGTCAGATTCACGTAAAAGCATCGTGAATCTTCTCGAACATTATTCACGAGGAATCATTCTTCGTTATGCAAGTTGCGCTGTCGACGGGTTCGTGTATCTCATTTGGCGTATAAACGCTAGTGCACAGGCATACAAAGGGCCCTTCCTTAGGTACCCAATCGCTCTCAGAAGTCTTTTTTACATTGTAAAGCATGGATGTCTACAGAAAAACCTCAGGCTGTCCGTGTTAGCCACAGAGAGTACTCTACACTCCTATTTCCATGACCACACGTTTCATCAAAAATCACGAGCGCACAGGGCTTTAAGGCACCCGTCCAGGGCTGTCTAAGAAAACAAAAGTCCAAGAAATGCTTCTCAGAGTAGGCACACAAGGGTCGGTGTTTGTAAGACATTTCGCAGCCAAGTAACAAGTCGGCCGAGAAGCAAAAAAAAGTAAGCCATCCAACCAGGGCATCTCAGGCAAATAACCTCTATTTAATACATAAACTTCCTTTTTCTTCTGCATCAAAATATCCGTTAAAGTCGCCCGTATTCTCCAGATCACATATCGGTTATATTAACCCCAGTGCCGGTCTCAGTTCGCACCAAATAGGCCTTTCCAAAAACACACCTTGCTGTACCTTGCGACTTCTGGCACATACTCTCGTGGCTTTCATCTATCTACGTCAATTCTTCGGATCAACCACACCAGAAACTGAGCTACGCCTGGCCCTCCAACATCCATAATATAACTCCAAAACCCGGGTGCTCCTCTACTAATACCTCCATTCACTGCATATCCCGACATCCCACTCCGATCTCATAGATTGCTACCAGTTCATGTCCACCCAGACACAGCCCTCCATCGTGGGCCAAAACGGCACAACGGGCTCTCCGGATGTCCAGCACGATGCTAACGGCTCCAACAACTCTCGAAGAAGAACGGTCAGAGACTACCAATTCGGTACAAGGATCGGTGAGGGCTCCTACTCCACCGTGTACTCCGCCATGGACCTATACAACAAGAAGACATACGCCATCAAGGTGCTCCTGAAGAGACACATCGTCAAGGAGGACAAGATCAAATACGTGAACATTGAAAAGTCTACGTTACACCGTTTGGGCCAGCAGCATCCTGGTATTGTTCAGCTCTACTACACTTTCCAGGACGACGCCAGTCTATTCTTCGTGCTAGACTTTGCTGAGTACGGTGAGCTTCTCTCCATCATCAGCAAGTTCGGATCGCTCTCGGAGCAGGTGCTGAAGTTCTACATGATCCAGATCATCGATGCGGTGAAGTTCATTCATCTGAAGGGCGTCATTCACAGAGACTTGAAGCCAGAGAATATTCTCGTGGGCTACGACTTTAATTTGAAAATCACAGACTTTGGCGCTGCCAAACTTCTCGGAGAGGTGGACGACGTACAAGGCGAGACTATAAACTACGACACCGTCGCCGAGAAGCCACAGAAGGACAGAAAGGGATCCTTTGTGGGAACAGCCGAGTACGTTCCACCAGAATTGCTCCAATACAATGAATGTGGTTTTGAAAGTGATGTCTGGGCTCTCGGATGCATTCTTTACCAGTTCTTCAACGGTCTCCCGCCTTTCAAGGGTCCAACAGAGTATTTGACTTTCGAAAAAATTATCGGCGTGAACTACTCCTACAGAAATGTTGTGCCTCCTGGCGTAAAGGAAATCGTCGACCAAACCCTCATAGCAGAAACCCACCAAAGACTCACTATACCTCAAATACAGGCTAAGCCTTGGTTCCACGGGGTCCCTTGGGAGGATCGCAATTATATCTGGAACCGTAAGGTCCCACGGTTTGAACCATACCACCCCGGTGCTCCTTCGACCCCACAACAGAACTTTGGTGCACCACATATGAAGTCTGGTGCCAGCCGAAATATGAACAAATCCTCATCGAATTACCAGCTCCACTCACAGATCCAACTGCTGGACTTCAGCTTGGTCCCAACAATGGGCGGCAAGAAGACCCATCAACCACCTACTAGAATAAAGAAGGGCATGAGCTCTGGAAATGTTCCTACAGTTTCAACTTTACCCGCCCACAGGCCCGTGGAGACTACCACCCAAATCATGCCCAATGATCCAAATTTCATGGCAATTAATACTCCGCAGCAGGCTCGCAAAATGCCTCCTTTGAAACAGAGACCCTCAGAGACCAGGCCTCCTCCGCCTGGAGCCATGCCACCTTTGCAGAATGCTCCCCTGTTCCAATACCAACCTCAACCACAGCAGGCTCCAATGATACAGAAACAGCCTGTCCCACCACAGCAAAGGCGTCAAATGCCCCGCATGCCACAAAATAACATATCACAACCAGGCAGTATCCCGACTCTAGAAAACAAAATGGCCGAGACTCAAATTTCGTCTGGAAGTACATCCCCACGCTCGCCTCAGTACAAGGATTTGCGCTCGGGTACAGCTTTTGCTAGGCCAGGTTCAAGACCCACTTCAGCTACCAACAGTGCTTCTACATCTCCAAAGATTCCACAGGGAAACTTTGCGTCACTGGCGGCAGCAAAAAGTGCAGCAAGCTCTTCAGCCTTCAAAGCGGGTACTAATGCAAAGCCAAAACAACAAGAACGCTCTCGTACTCCACTGAAGCCTTCAGCTGCAGAGAGAACACCAGAACCAGCACCAAACACTGTCACCTTTAAGGAGATTTCCTCCTTCTTGGAACACGATGAAAAGGTAATCAAGCTCGATACTATTCTCAAGCTGCAGTTGAGCAACAGGCTCATTGATAGAAAACCCGGCAGCATTGACGATGAGACTATCGAGCGTCTTGTGGATAGATACCAAGACGTGCTTGACAGGAACATGGTGCCTGTTGTTGCCTGCGTGAGTAACAAGGCTCGTATCTTCTTGATCTATGAGAATCTCGAAGTCATGCTGGTTGATCTTACTGCTAACCAAGGTGGTGACTACCTGATGTATGATTATGAATTTGAGAGCATCTACGTCGAAGATGAGGGCTCCAATTCGTCTCACGGTGAAGAGGTGTATGGTTATCTCATTCTTGAATTGATCAAGGAAGGCGGAGACCTTGTCTTCCTCAAACGTGTTAAGGAGGACGATAAGCCCAAATATGAAAAGTCGGCACGTGTCGTGGATAAGAAGGGAGAAGTCATTCGTATCGGAGAGCACTTAGGCTGGATCGACTGCTTGATCTGGGCTAAAGACATGGTGAGCGAGCAAAATAAGCAGCCCAAGAAAACAAGCTCTACTAAAACTCCATCTAGATCGTCGTCAAAACCTAGAGTTCCATCTAAGGGTTCGAACAAATCAAACGGTACGAGGTCACCCCCATCTTCTTCTTCTTCGCAGAAGCCGGCTCCAAAGAAGGCCGGCAGTGTTTTGGCGTATGCTGCTGCTGCCGCTGCGGGCAGATAGATTGATAAAATGTACAAATAGAACAATTAGCTTGATGATGAATGATACCTATTTACTGATTGCATCTGCGAACTGTTGTAGCCAGTCCTTGTAGTAGCACTTGTCGTTGAAGATTTTGGTTGTTTCTTCCCTGATGATTTTCTCCACATTTTGCTCGTTGCGGACCCAGTTTTCTATAGTTGCCCTGCGAGCATTCTGATGCTCTATTTTCTCAAGATCGTCTTTCAAAGCGTATGGATTCGTTCTCAAGTCGTAATCGGCCGATTTAGGCAGTGCAGCCGCCACTTCTTGTTCTAGCTTTTTAGCATAATCGGAGCAGAATTGAATAGCATGTGCCCGTGCCTGCCACTGAGGAACAATCTTGCGATTGAAGTAAGCATCACAGTCTTTGGGTTGTGTTTCGTTCAAATGCTGGCTTATAGTATCGTCTGTGGCGATCCGGGAGAGCCTGAGAAATGCTCTTATCCTCGAGGAGTCCTCGCAATTGGCTGTGGTGAGCAATTCAGCAGGCGTCACCAGCAGCTGTGAAGACAGCTTTTTGTAGAAAAATTCGGACATCTTGGAACCCACAGTGAAAGTACCTGTGTTATCCGAAGATATATGGATTCGATAAGATATTCGCAATCGCCCCTGGTAGCCATTTCAGAATGTGCAGCACTGGTGTCGGCGCATCTTCTTAACCAACGTCTTGGATCACGACGCACCATCTATTTATTCAGCCCTATGTTGGACTTTTCCGACGACAACTTATGGCGATTTACCGTACTGGAGGTGCTCAAGGAGCATCTAGCCTTGTACGCCACGAAAATCGAGTCTCCTTCGACCACCATAGATCGAGAGAACTCGACCCGAATGAAGAATGATCTTGCCTATGTGGCCCAGTTTGTGGATACTGCCACGGTCATCAACTCAGGCATGGAGCATTTTGACCCTCCTTTTGCCCCTGTGGCCAAATACTTGCAGGATTTGCTTCTTCCTCCTAGCATTGCCTTACGCTATGCTGAGCTGGTTAACGAGAGAGTCGATGCGGAACCTTACGAAAAGGACAAGGAACAAGAGCTCCGTAGAGTTCTACATATCGCCGCTTCCACAGCTGCTAGCATTGTGCTGGGCGAGGATCTGGAAGATGGCAAGTTTGCGGCTGTTTCTGATGTCATGGCTGACCACCTCGCCAGCCTAATAGACTGGGCGTTCAAGGCCAATTCGCCCATTGGTGACGAGCAGGTTAAGATCCAGGCTGTGGGAAGCGAACTCAAGCGCAATTCTGTTGGCTGCTCTTATAACAGCTGGATGTCTACATTCCAGAAGGTGCTCAAATCGCATCTTGAAGCTGCTGGAAGCACCCAGGACAAACAACGTGCCCAGAAAGAATACATCCTTCAGCTTCGTGAGCTTGGCAATAACCTTATGACCAACCTTTCATACCCACAGGCCATCAAGGTTTACACCACAGCTATTGACTCGTGCTCTATTTTCACTGCCAACAACCTCGCTCAGCTTTTCACTAACCGAGCTATTGCATTTATCGGCCTCAACTGTTACCCAGAGGCGATTCAGGATCTCAAGCTGGCTGTTCTGAGAGACAGAACTTTTGTGCCTGCTTACGCCCAGCTAGGCTATTGTGAGTTATACATGGGCCGTACCCTTCATGCTTTGCGTGGCTACAAAAATGCCCTTGATGCATTGGCGGGTAATATCGACCCTCCAAACACTACACTTGACTTCCAGCAGAAGCAGGAATACAAGGATGCCCTGGCAAAGTCTGCATTCCCACAGTTTGTCCATAAACTTGTACAAGCCATCATCTTGACCGAGAAAAGAGCCAAACAGCAAAGAGTACCTATCAATGATCTTAAGTTCTACATGACTGAGATAAAGAAAACTTTGGTGGAGTTGCAACGGGTTGCAAGTCCTGAGGAGCAGCACTTGTTTGAGTTCAGCTACGACGAGAACTTCGACCAGGTGAGAGCCACCGCTGTCAGAGCCAACCAGCACCGTCCATCAATTTTCACTCCTGAGGTCGCCCTGGATGTATTGGCAGGAAGTCTGATGGAGGCATCTACCGTAACCATTCCTTTCCCTGGTATGACTGGCATGCCCAACCTTGGTACTCAGCGTCGTGAGACTGAAAACAATCAGACTACGCAGACACCGGCAGCCAACGACGAAGGACCAAGAAACACCGAAGAAACCGGCAACACTGAAAACCCACAACCATCTATTCGGGGGTTGATGAACCAGCTAGGTGACATTTTTGGTGACATGATGCAAGCACAGACGTCCAACTACTTCCCTAATGACGCACCAAGAAATGCAGATGGACAAAATGCACCTAACTTTGAGGTTCACGTGGAGACAGTGGGAGGTCCTATCCTTAGCGCAACACAAGCTGGTAGGAACACCGGTACTGGAGCGACTAATGGAAGCGCAGAAGCAGCAAGACCGGATGAGTCAACCACAGGCGCTACCCCCCATGCCACCGAATCTACAAATAATGGAAACACAGGTACCGACGGCAATACCACAACTACTGGCAATGACAACACCAATAACAGCACCAACAATGGCGATAATAGAAGAGAGGGAAGTCCAATGTGGGACTTGACCGAGTCGCTCAACCACATGCTTGCGGGAGACTACCAACCGGTGTTCAACAACCTCATGCGTCATTTTGAAACTCTGAGAGGAGGCAATACTACTCAAGGTAGTCAGCCTGATATGTTGAGAGAAATGATTCGCAGAGTCCGTGAGACACAAGCCCAAAGTCTGTCAGCTCAAAACAGTCAGGGAAGACCTAACTCCAACCAGTCTCAGCAAAGCGACCAAACCATGCCTGATGCAGCTGATATTGATTAGCTGTTGTTCGTAAATAGCAGATTAAAACCTCCCGTATGAATTTTAGTTGTAGACTTTTCCAAGCTGTTCCTGCAGTTGATGCACTGAGATAAGGAAAGTCGCCTTATAGAAACTACTGTCGTTTTAGCAGAACCCATACAACATAGAGCCATGGCTGGACTTGAACAATCACTTTTCCAACTCAAGTTCACAGCAAAGCTGTTGAACCGACAGGCCACCAAGGCCGCCAAGGAGGAGCTTTCTGAGAAGGCAAAAACCAAAAAAGCCATGATGCAAGGAAACAGCGACATTGCACAACTCTACGCCCAAAACGCCATCAGAAAAGCCAACGAGAGAGTAAATCTTTTACGTTTAGCGTCTAGAATCGATGCTGTGGCCTCGCGAGTGCAAACAGCAGTGACGATGCGTTCAGTGACTGGTAATATGGCGGGGGTGATTAAAGGAATGGACAAGGCGCTTCAGACAATGAACTTGGAGAAAATATCACTTGTCATGGACAAATTCGAGAACCAGTTCGAGGACTTGGACGCCTCCACCAACTACTACGAGTCAGCCACCAACAACGTGAACGCCTTGACCACACCACAAGAAGAGGTGGACGAGTTGATGAGCCAGATTGCCGACGAGGCAGGCATAGAGATGAAGCAGGGGCTCAACGAGACCAAGGTGGACATCCAGACGCCTCCTGTGGCGAACGTTACGGAGGAGAAGGAGGACAAGTTGGCTGAGCGGTTGCGTGCATTGAGAAACTAGCGGCATAGAGCAACGCCAATGGGCCCATATTTTAAAGAAAATCCAACAGTCAAATAGGTTACATAGCAAGAGGAAGGCTAGCCCTGTGTAGAGGTGGCCCCACCAACGTCAGCAGGTGTCTCAGCTGTATAGGAGTTGTGGCTGCAAGGCCCTTCATTGTCTATGGAGCAATCGAGATGAGGTGTATGTACGACGACGATCCGAGGAGGCCAATGCAAAAATCGACGCTTGCTGCCTTTTGAGTTTAAATGAAAATCGTTTTATTAATAAGCTAGCTTTCAGGCCATTGGTGCCGATTTAGCAAAAAAACCTGTAGCGCCAGACGCAGCCAATTCTCGCACCTCGGTGGCCCTGCCACACCTCCACAAATTTCATTCGGAGCCGACCATCGAAATAGCCATTGGTGGGCGAATCAGGAACAATTGAATTGTAATGAATTGACAAGCCGTTCGGAAAAGGCAATTCTACGTAAATCTTTACTTTTTTTTTCTCCGGGTGAAGTGGTCTCCAGGGATTGACATCACTTGCTCGCAGCTAGCGCCATGCTTTGCAACCAAGACTCCAAAAGAAACCGCATTGATAAGCAGGCATGTGCGGCTCGTCGGCTCCACCGAAAATCCAAAGAATCTGTCGAAAAAACGTAATGTACGTTTTTCTGGTCGTAAGCCATCAAGCGCCCGTGACTTTAAATTGCTCAATGGCACCCCTTGTCTCACTCGACCAATGAAATACTCAAAGTGTGGGCCCCACTGTGAGCGGTTCTGTCCTGCAGACACATCCTCACCGGTAGGCGCCCCCAGCCCTATATAAATTTGGCGCTATTCCGGTTCCCCGTGGTCCATTGCTGGTTTTCTACAAACTTATTTTTGAACCACTACCCCTCAATGTTTACCGCCCCCATCAAAGCTAACAGCTCCCGTGTTGGTGCCGCCGCCTCTGGCGCTGCCGCCTCCGCAATTGGCGCCGTCAGACACAAGGTTTCTCTTCCAGACTTGGACTGGGAGTTCGATGCCTTGGAGCCTTACATCTCGGGCCAGATCAACGAGATCCACTACACCAAGCACCACCAGACCTACGTGACCGGCTACAACACTGCAATTGAGCAGTTTGCCGAGGCCAAGCAGAAGGGCGAGGTGAAGAAGACCGTCGAGTTGCAGAAGCTCATCAACTTCCACGGCGGTGGATACACAAACCACTGCTTGTTCTGGAAGAACTTGGCTCCAAAGAGCCAGGGCGGTGGCGAGCCTCCATCCGAGGACTCTGAGCTCGCCAAGAGAATCAAGGAGCAGTACGGCTCTCTTGAGAACTTGCAAAACGTCACCAACGCCAAGTTGGCTGGTATCCAGGGTTCCGGTTGGGCCTTCCTCGTCAAGAACAAGGAGAACGGTGGTCAATTGGACGTTGTCACCACCGCCAACCAGGACACCGTTACTGGTCCATTGGTGCCATTGGTTGCCATTGACGCCTGGGAGCACGCCTACTACTTGCAGTACCAGAATGTCAAGGCTGACTACTTCAAGGCCATCTGGAACGTTATCAACTGGAAGGAGGCCGAGAAGAGATACGTTGTCAACTAAACTGACGGTTGAATATGTGCAGTGAATGAATGCTCTTTGCTATCTAAAATGTAGAGGTTCCAAGCATGGAAGCCGCTTTCTTGGCATCAATGGACCCTGTGTCAATGTCTGTCTTGTTCTTTAATACCTCTTCCTTCTCCGCTTGCTGCTGAGTAAGACTGCGGAACTTGCGAGAGCTCCACAAGTCTCCATTTGCAGCTTGTGATTGTGCCAAGTTGTGTTTCATCTGACTAAGATGCTCACGATTCAATCGCGAGAGGCCACCGTTCTCGTCAATGATTCTTACGTCGAGCCGTATCTTCTCGAAATGGTTCAAGAGCTTGCGGTGTTGCTCGACTCGGTTGAGAGTGAACTGCTTCAAAAGAGTTTTCATCTTCTTCTCGGTGAAATCTATGACCTCTTTTCTCTCAAACATCATTTCCCCGGAGATTCTCTTCACTTGCATGTGGAGACTCTCCTCTGCCTTTTGGGCATACTCGAGGGAGCGAATAGCTTCCTCGGCTCTAATGGGATCTAGCGACGCCCTGCTCTTGATCTTAGTGGCTTGGACATGCTTAGACTTTGTCTGGGTCTCAGCCTGTATTAGTTCTCTCATGATAAGATAGCGATTGGTAAGAGCTTCTTTGATCTCAAAAAAGTCAGCACTCAATGCTTTAGCACCATCACCAAGGGAGCCCATGTCGCTTATCAGTTTAAAAAGTATCAAGTCTGCCTGATATTGGGTGACCTTGGCAAGTTTCTCCCATAAGTTGCGCATACCAGGATGTACTGTCTCAAACTGGGCAAGGCCCTTGAGTTTCGTTCCCAATTCGCTGATGTTGTTCAGTAGATGACGTTCTAACTTTTGATTCTTATCCATTGTTTTGTTTAATCGCTGACATAGCAAGTAGGCCGACTTAATCATTGGCCTGAACAGCGCAAGCTCCTGGTAGGGATCGTACGGTGTGTTCAATTGCTTCATCGTCTTCCTCATCAAGCCACTGGCCACCAGCTGCTTGCGGTTCGAGTTGATGACAGAGTAGCCGAAATCGCTTTCAATGAAGTAAACAAACTCCTCGTCTCTGACAAGGATTGGGTTTCGCGTAATTCTGCTAAACCACTCCAGCCAGTTGAATAGCTGTTGTTTTCTTTCATCCTCCCCGCCAGCAGGATAGGAGGTGATTGGGCTGGGGATCACCGGAACAAACACCTCGAGGTTGGAAAGGATCAAATACTCGTTGAACCGGTGGACCTCGTTATAAGTACGTCTGATATCTTTATAAATCTTATCCCTGAACTTAGGTAAGCCTCTCACGGAAGCGTCGAATCTGAGAATTGGGTTGTTCGGCTTGTTCTCCTCGATTTCCCGAAGGTGGATACGCATCAGGTATTTGTTGGTGAAACGCTCAGGCAAGAGTTTTTTGAGATCCTCTTCAACAAGTCGACCTGTGCCCATCTCTTCATTATCTGTCGCATTGGGATTTTGCTCCTGGCTTTGTTCTTCTTCTTCGACTTGCTGGCCATAGTATGTGTTGGACGATTCTTCCTCTGGAGGCGGGTCCACCTCTTCCGTCATTGTGCCTACATTGACACTAGGCGTATATTGCTCTGGTTCAGCAAATGGGTTATTATTTTCAAACTCCTCGGGATCATAAGGTATACTCGATGCCATTGTAGAAATCTTATTTCATCTGAGGTGGTGGTTGTAGATAACTTCACGCACTCCTGTGCGAGCCCCAGATTTCGGACTGATTACACCTTTGATAAAGGGAACTATTAGATTCTATCGTACAAACATTAAAAACTACAACTTTTCCTCTGTCAATACTTCGCTTGACCGGAGAATGTTGTAGCCCCAAAATCCGATCACGTTGAGCACACCGACTCTCCAACCGTTGAAAAGACCAAGGATCTTGAATCTCTGCCAGTAGGAAAGCTTGCCACTGCTCTCGGCATTCGCATGAGCAGCGTCCCAGCTGTTGAAGTTTACAATAAGGTCTTCATCAGGATTGTCGATGGTCACAACACGGTACTTGTCTTCCTCGGGTGACTTTGGCTTCAACAAGAAGCGCACCTGCTCCTTGCGCAACAAGTTCTCCATCGGTAGCTTGATGAAAAGCTCTGCAATCAGGAGAATGAGGTTGGCCATAGTGTACCAATTGGGTGCTGAGTAAGCGTCCACGTTGTAGCGTATGAACAAAATGTATGGCGAAGCTTTTCTGAAGACCGTGGTGGAGAACTGATGCAAGACCGTCAACAAAGTGATGGTTGGGGGTGGGTGCAAGAGGTATTTGATAGGGTAGTTTCTGATAGACTCTCTCACAGATCTCGTGTTGACAGCGGGTTGTGCCTCTTCGTTTACGGAAGGACTTGGAGAGCTGGAGCTGCTCGTTGATTCCGACTGTGGCACGCCTCTGTTGAACTGAGTAAGCATCAAACGCACCTTTATAAGGTCGAGAGGCATCAAAACGACGCCTGCTAAAACACAAGCCAGTACTGATAGCCAAAGAGATTTGGCAGGCTCGGTCAGATGGGTGAGATCAAGGAAGAAGGGGTCTGGGATACCGAGGAAAGGTGAAAGGAAGCCAGTGATCCATGCCTCGATTGTATGGGCTAACGTATGGTGAATGAAAGACGCATTGACTCCTCGGAACAAGGCAAAGGGGCCGTCTTTGGATGCAATTGCAGTCA